CGCTTTGTCTTGACCTGAGAAAAGCATTCTGACTTCTGAGAGGTCCAGAGTTGGTGAGATAACTTGTCCCCGCATATGGAAGGTAGATATCAAATGTACCCCCCAAAGGGCTCTTGTGTTGAAGGCTTGGTCTCCAGCTGGTGGATCCAATCATTGAGACTTTGGATCATGAAGGCTCTGATCTAATCAATGAATTTATCTACTGATGAATCCATAATTTAGTGGCATTATTGAAAGGTGATGGAAACCTAAGAAGGTGGAGCTGAGTTATAGAAGTAGATCACTGTGGGTGTGTCCTTGGGGGCTAGAACTTGTCCTTTGCCTCTCCCCCCATCCCGGCCCAGCCACTTTCTAGTTGCCAGGAGGTGAGCAGTTCTTTTCTTCACCATGCCCTTCTGCCATCTATCATCCTGTTCTCCCTTGCTACAGGCCTGAAACCAATGAAATCAGCCAGCCATGATCTAAACCTCTGAAACTGAGCCAAATTGAATCCATCCTTCTTTTAAACTATTTCTTATTTCTGTCAGATATTTGTCATAGTAATGAAAAATTGACTAACACAGGAAGCTATGATCCAAGAAGAGACCCTTGATTTATTTTCACTAGTTTTAAGTGGCAGGCAATGACATGACTGGTCAGGTGTGGTGGTCTGTGCCCTGAGCTGAATGGAAATATTCAAGCTCCCCCATGCCTGGAACCAGGGACATCAGGCTGTATGGGTCTTGTATCATTCTGATGTGAGATTGTTGTGGAAATTAGCCTCATCATCTGTGCAGTCCAAGGCTTTTGGTGGGCTTGGGGCAACTATATGGCAAAAGACAATGTAGATATAATGGTGGCTTCCCCACAGAGTGGAGCCATCTCTCAAATCAGGGTTCCATTTCTAGTCTCAGACACTATGGATGAAATGAAGGACAAAAATGCTCTCAGAAGGAGATAGGAGAAAAGATCATTTTCCTTTTAAGTTCATGCTAGAGGATTTGAAGTCTGAAACACAAAACCATTGTAAGCAGCTGCTCTTTTTAAAAACACGTTAATTTACTCCACACATTCTGATGATAGGAATTAGACAGAATTCCAAACACAGCTTATCGGTCACATTTTATTCAGTGACTGATTTTTTTTCTCTTTCCTGTGACCCTTTATTTAGAATTTTTCAATCCTCCCGGGATAAGGCTTTTTATTCCTGAATTTCATTTCATTTTCTTTCCTTTAAAAGTCATGAATCTTATCCCAACCATGCAAATTCATATAGTTTTGTTACCAAGGTTTACTACCTAACTTTTTTCTTAATTTACTTGGAAAAGTACTTGGTCTTTTGGCATATAAAGATGTATGTGCTGCCTGGGGAGGGGCAGAATCTCTGTGGGGAGCACAGTGTACTTGGAGTCAGTACCCTTGGCAGGAGAATATCCTGTAGGTCTTTTGAAAGGAAAGAAGCAAGTCATTGGAAACTTGAAAACAATGCAAAGGAAAGATCAGACCCCAATGTAAGGAATCTATGTTAAAGTGAGCCTTATATCTTTCCCAGCCCCCATCAGTTCTATCCTTTGCAACCACAGATGGAGGTTAAAATGGCTGATACCCATGACCTTCTCATTAACTGAGTATTATGTAATACTTTAGCTACTTTGGACTCCTAGGATAGCTTGGTGGAAAGTCTCCCAAGACTGATCATCTCACTGGCCTAACCTGTTTTCTGTTGTTTTGTTGCTTGAGTTTTAAGATGGCGCCTTGCTATGTGGCCCAGACTGCCCTTGGAACTTGCAGTCCTCCTGCTTTAGCCTCCTGAGTGCCGAGAGTGAGGGTGTACACCACCACACCCAATACAACCCGGTTTATTTTAATGTATTATTGGGTATGTGTATGGGCCATGGGGTGATGGACTAGAGCATCATCATATTCAGACATTCTGCATCTTCTTAGGTAACAGATGAAATTATTTAATGTATAGGCGTGGAGGAAGATCATGTTCATATTGAAAGGTTTTCTGAGTTACCTTTGTGTCCTATAGTATTCCTCAACCCAGAAAAGACCAAGCAGTTGGTTCATCTTCAGTCTAAGAGGAAATGTCTGTGGGTGAAGAAGTATGGCCACCATGTTTCTGTGCTTCCCATTCAGTCTGCAAGATGGATGCATTGCTCAGCATCTTTTCCACAAGGAAACATCTTACATCTTTTACAATGCGAAAAATTTACATAGGAGACAACGGAAGGAGTGAGAAAGAGTTGTGCACCCAGTGATTGGTGGCATGTGGCAGTGGCCAATCTGGACTTCCTTTCTAGCCTCAGAATAACTGGCTGATGGGTGATAGGGATGTAGTCACACCGGAAATCCTGAAGCCCTTGCATTTAAATAGGACTAAAATACACTCAGATAGGTGCAGTCTCTGAGGAGGGAAATAAAGTTATAGCAAGTCATCTCAATCCTGGGTCCAACCTAGATAATTTAGATAACGTAAGTGTGGTATCCCAAGGGACAGGTTCCTTCTACTACAAGTTTAACATGAGTTTTTCAGGGAACAGACAACTTAATTCTGATTTACAAGCTGAAGTTTTATTTTTACTAAATTATCTATGTTAAAAAAAAAAATCTGTGCCTGGTGTGGAATTTCACTCCATCAAGTGTTACAATGACTTTTTTCATTTTCATTATAAGCAGGAGAATGAATGTAGGACAAGTGTTAGGAAACATGGCAATAAATTAGAATATAATTTACAAAAGCAAAAAAAGTAACAGTGTACCACATTAATACTGAGTATAAAATAATAAGCAACAACTAATCACAATAATACAAAGGTAATTTTGTTCTGTGTTATTAAGGATACCTATGTGACACATTCACTCGAATAGAAAATGCCTAATGAAATGTACTGAAAGTCATATGCATCTTAAGAGGTTCAATCATTTGGGTGCATTTACTTTTCCTTTTTAGGTAGACCTCCTTTATACCAGTGGCAGATACTGCTCTAGCCATGGGTACCAGTTTATTTGGGGTTCCCTAAGTAGATCAGACATCACACAACTTTGAAGCACCTGCCAGGGTGGCCCAGCCTCCGCTGATGAGCCTATTGTTTCTATCCAGGAAAAGAGCTTCACATAGCCACATGGCTATAGCAGCAGCAGTACTGTAATGTGCTGTGAAAGAGGTCTTCTCTTTCTTTCTTCCTTTTTTAAAACCTGGTTAGGTTGAAACTTATGGCCTACCTGAAAATGTTTAACCCTGTTACATTTTGTGCTTGGTTCCCTCATGAAAGGCAAATTATGCTCCCAGGTCAGGGAGTACCCTGCTCTCAGGGGAACACAGGCTGCCTCCTCTTCAGCACCAGCTTCCAGGTATGGATAAAATAAGGATTTTTGTCAGTAATGCAAGGAATCTTTTTGAAATTAAAGACAGCTGATATTGGTATTGGTGAAAATCAGATCTAGACAGCAAATTGATGTCTAAAGTGCCACAGAAACCATCCACACTTCATTTATTTAATCTCACCAGGGCACGTTAGCACCAAGTTAACTAAAGCATCAAGGGAATTCAAGCTCGACTGCACTGCCCCTGGGCTTCATTCCCTTTACTGAATGGCTAGTGTGACTCTGGGGCTGACCTTCTAAGGGCAGTTACATGGGGCCTTGGCAGTATCTCTTGTACATCAATAGCTTTCTCTGGAAAACTCAGGCATGGGAACTGAGGTGTTGAGGAACTAGCAGGTAATGAGATGTGAATAGTCATGACTGAGTATGCAGAAAGCAACCAGTGGCAAGGGTTCACAGAAAACCTAGAAGTTTAGGTTGGCTTTTGGCATCCGAGTCTCTCTTGCTTTTAGACAAAAATGAATCATTTACCTTAGGTCATGCCATATGTGACACACTGATGTGTAGTTTTAGTCATGGGCATAAGTGAAACATGCTTTTTAATCGCAGGTATTATCTTTGCAAAGTAGCCATTTAATTTTGAGTTTAAGGTGTTGGTGTATGCATACTGTACATGTGCGTATAATAAAGGAGGTGTGGTGGACACAGAGCACATTCATCCAGAACCTGCTACAAACTACAGTGTTCAAGTACAAAGTAGTAACATAAACAAGCACCCTCTTAAAACAAATCTAGCTGTGGAGTCTTTTGATGAACAGGATGTGAAATCTGAAGATAAGGAAGATATGGGTTAGTCATTTTAATTTGGGTGGATATGACTCTAGAATTTGACTTGCCCAAGAATCTGGGTTTCACATTTAATTGTCATTCAGAGTATCCATAAAAAATATAAAATACTTGGATGAGTGATTATTAAAATTATGCTTTATGATCTCTAGTCTTTATGAGTTTTTCTTCTTTGGTTGTTATCCCTTGCCTACTTTAAAACTCACAGAAATAGCACATTTATGTGAAAGTACAGTCATCTACCCATACACCCAAGGTGCCTGCACACACACATACACACGTGCACACACTTGCTCTCATATAAATAAATGCCCTTCTACTGTATCAAAGAAGGTACATCTGGAACCCATCGTAATTGTCAGCAAATTGCCTGGTTATTACCGAGGCAGCCTATCTTTTGCATGGCATCATCTCAGTAAGCTCAACATGCAAGCAACAATCCAAAAGAGCCGAAGCCAGTCTACGGCAGTAAGGATGTAAACACAAATGAGTGGAGTGACTCAAATAAGAAGGAAAGCACCCTGTGTGATGGCAGCAAAAAGGCCTGGTACTTGAGTCCACCATACCCCAGGTCTGGCTTCTGCGCAAAATTGAAATGTTTTTCTCTTAAAGTTTTAATGGAAATCTCAGCTTCACTCACACAATGGCAAGCTGGCCACAGTCTCTTAGCACTGAATTTATAGACTTGCACAGCTGCGGTAACCGACACACCGCTTTAAACTAAGTCCCTCATTGTTCAGTTCAATAGAGTTTTATATATGGCTCACAGCAGTGTTCAACAGGGGGATTTCCTAAGGAAATTAAGTGGAATGAAGAAAAATAATACAAACTTTCATTAGTTTTGATTTATAATTGCTTCTTAAATTACAGTTCAAAGCCCATTTTATAATTTAAATTGTGGTGCTGTTGTAGTGAGATAAAGTATAGTAAATATTTTTAAGCTATGACTTAAGGATTCTGAATCTTCTTTACTTCCATAGTTGACCAAGTCATAACAGCTACATTTGAAATAGTTTTAAATACAAATGGATTCAGTGTCATTGCTAAGTCCATAATAAAAATTATCTTAATGGTCCAAGGAGGTAAACAGGCTATTGGATTTACTCGAAAGAACACAAATGTTCCATAGTAAGCAAGTTCCCTGTGCTGTTTGGACCTCTCCAATCTGGCATTCCCTCCTCATACCGTGTCCAGCACTTTGGATCAATAAATCCCACTTCACAGAAGTTAAAATAATATTGAAATCCTGTCAGCTAGGGCTGACCAGTGGTTACGTTTTCCACAGGGTAATGCTTTTGCAAGGACACCAATTCTCTTCCTCTTGGTGGCTTTCTTTGATGGATGCATTTCCACGATGAAATGACAAGGTTCTCTTTGGCTTTCTGTGGGTCAGTGTCCTTGGCAGGTCTTACAACACATCTGTCTGAAGTATGCTCGACTGCAGAACTTGAACTTCAGCACCAGTGGGCAATAAGCCACTTTGTTCACATCTTTGCACTCTAATGAATGGGGGCAGAAAATAGAAAACAATAAGAAGCACATAAACAAGTACATAAATAAGCTGATGCACTTACATACTTAGCAAGGATCCACTTTGGGCCAATCCACCTTAGCTTCCGCATCCATGTGGTTTTTGTTTTTGTTTTTAAGCATGCCCTGTCTGGTACAGCCTACCAGAAACATTCTTTTGATATATTTTAACACAAAATTTTTAAAAAGTTTGCAAGGCTTTTCTTCCAGACTTTTATAAGTATGGTGCATGCCCACTGTGTCTTGAAAGAATTACCATTTGTTGGGATAAGTGATCACTTTAGACAGCTTGGAAACATGAGTCATTTTTCTTACAGCATTTTTATTGCTTCTTTCTCAAGGGTTATTTTATTCAACTGTGCAAGGTTATCCAAAATCAAACATGAGTTGCATTGTTTGATACCAAAGTACGTATGTCTCGTCTATAGAGAACTTCTGCATCTGTGAGATGTGGGGATGGGCCTGAGTGAATGAAAAGGATGCTGACCGTGGCCTCGATTCAGCAACGACACTAGACAGAGAGGAGAGCTTTGAGGGGTTGGCCTCAAATGGCAGCAGTCTGTGGGTTATGGAAACAAGTAGAAATGTCTTTTTTTAATTTGGAAGTGAGACATGGCCTCCTTTTTTCCTATGTGTATTTTCTCCTCAGTGTTAGAGTTGACACAGTTGCAGTCTGCAGCCCTTGCAGCCAGAAGGTGAATAACTGATTCTTCTCCCATCTCCCCTTGAGGCTGGTTGCAGGGTGGTACTGAGGGGTCCACCGTAGAGAAAGGGACAGGCCTTAGATTATCAGCAGCCTCCCACCCCCACCAACACAAGACACTCACTAATAACCATATTCCTTCCCCGCATTCTGGTTACTTTTATCTGGGTATTTTAAAATAATTTGTCAACCTAGTAATTAAATTCTCATATACCTCCCAGAACCAAAGTTCCACCTCATTTCTCCAGGTGGTTCTTCTGAAGCATCCTGGGTAAGCCGTTTAGGGTGACTAGGACTCAGGGCCCTGGGTAAATTCAGTGCAACAGAACAATTTTTGTTGGCTTTTTGTTTGCTGTTTTTTTTCCTGGCTTCAGAAGATCACTAAAATTTGAAGAGATTTAATATCTGGTACACAAGCCACATGATAAACACAGAACACTAAATGTAAAGAAATGGGAACGTTTTCAGTTCTTTTTTATTAAAAAGTAAAGTAACACTGTTACTGAGCTCATTTTAAAGACTCTTTTACTGAAAGTCTTAAAATTTGAAACTGGAATCCCCAAATCCTCCAAACACATAAGCTCTGCCACTGTCAAACTCTCTTACTCAAGATTTGATTTACAGAGAGAATAATATTTAGAAATTAGAACAGAAACTTTCCATACTAGGATTCTCAGTAAATTTAAGTTTTGGCTGAAAGAAGGTAGGAGGAGCATGAAAAACTTCTTTAGATTTTGAACTAAAAAAAAGAAGAAATTGGATGATATTTGATGGATCAAGGTGTGAATCTGAGGTGAAAAGACTTCCACATATTTTAATTTGGAGGCTAATTGGTATTTTATTTTTCTTTTCTTCTCTAAGTAATATTGACCAGAAATGTAAACCAAAAAAGTTTGGACTAACAATATTTTTGTGGGAAATTTTTTTAGCACTGTTACCAAGAGGAATATATTGTCAAGGTGATACAATTAGTAAATGATTGGAAAGCTGAGCCTGTCCCTGTTGACACAATGTCATTCATCTTGAATTCCAAATCACCATCCTACTGGGGCAGCCACTCTCATATGCTGATGGGACTAATTAAAATATACAAATAAATCTTAGCTTTGACCTTCATTGCCAAAATATAAAAATGATTTAGTTGATAAACAGATAGAGGAAGACTGGTTGTTTTAAGAGTACAGGGACATAAAATTAGAAGCCAGACTGCCTGGATTTAATCCTAGCTTTACCACTAACTAACTTTATCTCTCTGAACAATTACTTAACATCTCAGTGCCTAAGTTATCTTATCTGTATGGTAGGAATGACAAGAATCCTCACTCTCCCAGGTAACATGTATGAGTACGTGTGTATCCTTATGTAATCAACTAGAGTAGTGGTAGATGCATGGAAAATGCTTGAAAGTGCAAAAGATTGAATTATTATTGTTATTATTAGTTATTAATGTCTCTTATTGCCTGAGTTTGGGAAGGAAGCAAGAAGTTACAATCTAAATTTTTCAATGAGGATGCAATATTTGGATTGCTCCTCAGAAAATACTGCTCAAAAGACTTAAGTCAGTTTGAAGAACAAAGAGGAATAGTTCCTGGGTCACAACTACTGTGAGAGTTACTACTCTATTTTTGGAAGAGTTGCTGGATCAGGAAAATTCTGCATTGAATAAAATACAAACAAATGCAGATTTCTCTTTGGAATCTGATTTAATAATGCATAATGAATTAAATAGAGTATTTAGAAATTGCTTCTCACCTCCACCTACCCATCACCCATTCAGTACTACCGATGTAAATATTGGTGTGTTGTTAGGTGAGCACTGGAAATAAGACTTCTCTGCATGCAGAGGCAACCAGTATTGTACTAGTCTCATAGTGGGTTGGGGTAGAACAGGATGAATGTGTAGTTCTCCACTAGCTTGATTGGAAGCAGGGAGGCATTTGGGTCTTGGGAGCAGGATCAAGCTTAGAGTGGGAGAGACTGATTGTGAGTGTCTCCTGACCTGTCTGTGGCAGAAGTATGTCAGAGTGAGGACTAGCAGGTCTGCAGTCAGTGGTCCTGGGAGTGAATTCTGGCCCTGTTTTTTCTAACATTAGTTTGGCCTTTGTCAAGTTACTTCACTGCTTAAATCTCAGATTCTTCATCTCTAAAATGAAGACCATGACAAGGTCTGCTCACAGAATGTCATAAGGTTCCAATAAGGTAATGCATAGACTATAAAGCCCATGCAATGGTGCCTGGTGCAGAGTAAGTCTTCAGTATATTGGCTCTCATTATCACCACAAAAACATTCACTTCTGACAACCGCTACCATATTATTTTTCTAGGATTCCTGTACCATGAAGATAGGCTCCCAGGAAGGGTTACACATATCCCAAAAGCAAGTTAACAGAAAGCTATTCAACACAGAGCAGATAAATCGTGATGGGGACCAGGGTGAGAAGAGATCTAGGAAAGATCCAGAGACTGCCAAGACTCAGACAAGAGGCCTTGATGAGACATGAATACAGAGATGTCTAGGCTCTGCAGGCCAGTTAGCCTTGATGGAATGTGGGGCTCCCAAGAAGGAGGGCTATGTGGAAGACCTAGTTCTTCTTGGTTTTCCCTTCTAGGACTTTCTGTCCTAACTAGAAGAGTCTTTTTTTGTTTTTTTGGTAGTACTGGGGTTTAAACTCAGGGCCTCATGCTTGCTAGGTAGGTGCTCTACCACTTGAGCAAATTCTACCAGTCCCTTTTTTTGTGTCGGGTATTTTTGAGATAGGGTCTTGTGAACTTGAACTATTTGCCCCGGCTGGCCTCGAACTGGGATCTTCCTGATCTCTGCCTCATAAGTAGGCCACCAGCACCTGGCTAAAAGATTCAGTTTATTACAAATCTTTGGACTGATGAAAATCTATTCACCAAAGGTCAGTTATTATCAATCTTTTATTCTCTCAGTCTTAATTTAGTAACAGCATTGCAAATAATTTGTGAAGCACTTCCTTTGTGTCAGGTACTTTAGGTGACTATATGTATTTTTATATTTAATCCTTTTAAGGATATAAAATGTCATCTGTGAATAGATAGCAAAACTGAAGCTCAAAAAGGTTATGAAACTCACAGGGTCAACACAGCTGGTTCATCTAAGGATGGAATCAGAATTCAGGTTTGTCTGACTATAAAGACACTCTTTTCTTGGCATTTAAAAAAAAGATGCTTCTATCTATCTGTGACTATGTCAGGTCTTTTGTTTGAGTTTGCTCTGCTTTCTTAGAGATGCAAGAGAGAGAGAGAGTGTGTATGTGTGTGTTTGGGTTTTTTAAAAGGAGGCTGTAAGTTAGTTCCAGAAGAATTAATTTAGAATGGAACACATATGTACAGGAAAGCAAAGCGAGTAAATTCCCTGTATAGCTATCCTTATCTCAACTAGCAAAAGCCCTTGGTCCTTCCTATTATTGCTTATACTCTCTCTTCAAGAAAATTAGAGATAAGGGCAAAATAGTTTCTGCCTGGTAGCAAGGGGGTAGGAGGAGTCGGGGCAAGGAGGGGAGAAATGACCCAAACATTGTATGCACATATGAATAAAATAAATAAATAAATAAATAAAAAGGAGGCTGTAAGTCATAGGCATTTACAGTAGCCTAAATTATCTCTTTCTACCTTTTTTTCACTAAATTTACATGAGGAAAAAAACAATTTTAGACACACTAACAAGTTTTAACACTGTGTTATTATAAAAGCTGATGTAATCTTCAAAATTAATAGCAGTTTTAAATTGGGTTGGTGCATTCAACCTTGATACTGCCACTTTTAGCTTAGCTAGAGATAACTGATTTGGTGTACTCTTGGGATGACTCATTGACATAAGACTGATGTACTTGGGGAGCCCTAATATTAAAACTTAGTCTTTCAATGCTCTGCCTCATTCTCAAAACCTATTACAATTATGAAATAGTCTTTTGTCTTCTACTCTTAAGCCAACATGTAATCGACCTACTGTTAAGAAAAAAACATTACGGAAAAGCTGTACATAAATTAAATCACATTTTCACATTGAAATCAAAACAGTAACAGAAATGTTCTGTTTTAATATCTGAATGATCTTCAGTTGTCATTGATTTCTAGATAATACTTAAAATTTTCTCTATACCCAAGTAGTACAAAAATTGCAAATAAATACTGGGAGATTGATTAAAATGAATGCTTTAGTTTTTTTTCTTATTAATTGAGACAGTTTTTTTTTTTTTTGTAGTATCCTCTGTAGTTGATCTGTCTTAAAATTTTGGTCTT